GGAAGAAAAATCGGATTGCCCCCGTCCCCTCTCCCCTCCCCGAGACGAATCCCCATTAAAAAGCAAAAACAACAAGAATAACAGCAAACTTGCTATCACCCTGTCCGCCCTCCACTCCCGGCACCATGAAGGCGGCCGTCGATCTCAAACCGACCCTCACCATCATCAAGACGGAAAAAGTGGATCTGGAGCTTTTTCCCTCCCCGGGTGAGTGGTGACGGCCTGGACGCGCACCCCAGCTCGGGCTCGGGGTCTCCTCCGCGTCTCCCCTCACGCCTGGCAATTTCCTTGCAGGCTGTGCGTTTGTGCCTGAGCGGGCGATGCTGGTGGCAGCTGGAGAGAGGCAGGGAGGAGGACTGTTGGTGGCCTGAGACCCTGGTTTGGGGGTGGTATTTATTTTCACAGCTGTGTTTTCGTGAAGAGTGGGAAACAGTTTATAGAATGTCCAGCACCCCATTCTCGCTTCTTCATTTTTTTTTTCCAAATGAGCAAGAACCCTCTGGCTTTTTTTCCCCTTTACGTTTGGGGAATGGACACCCTCAGAGGACATCCTTCCCTTGACTTTGCACCCCCTAGAAATGGACCTGGATGGAGGACCTGGGCCAGCAGAGGAGGAAAAGTGTCTAACTGGCCGGCCCTCCAGGGCTTGTGTTCAAATGTCCTGCTTTCCTGAGCTCCCCTGTCACAGGTCGCTTAGCTTTCTAGCGCCTCTTTTCTGGGTGAAGGACAAGGAGAGGGGAGGAGCGTTGAAATGGACATTTTAATGTCGGGAAACACGCTGATGCTTTTCATGCAGATTACTCACTTTGGCCATTTTTCTCATCTGCCCTCAGGGACTAGAGATGCCTTAGAAGAGGGCAAACACCCCAACACCCCGCTTTGGGTCTTTGGTTAGTTAGTGAGCGGTGGTGTCCTCCTCTTTGATTTGAAGAAGAAAGGGGTGGGAAAGAAATTTCATGTTGCCTTAGGCACAGTTTTTTTTTTTTTTTTGGTGCTAAGCAGTTTCATGGAGTCTGACACTCCATTATTCCTGGAATAAATGCCGTGTAAGAAGAAAAGATGATTGCTTTTAGGATAAGGCACTGCCAGCTATCCTTTGAGATTTGTGATTTTGGAGGTGAAGTTAGCAAGATACCGAGAAAAGGAGATGCTTTCTGGAAAATAATGAACGGCAATCATGTGTAAGTGTGCATCAGCTTCTCCATTAGTTTAGCTGCTGCTCCCTGTGGCTTACCCTTCCTCGCCTCTGCCAGAAGGATTAGTTGTGCATTTTAACTCTTTCTGAATCTGTTTAAACTTTCGACACAAGCCAAGCCCATGTTTTGTCGCTTGGAGGGTCCTTCATAGATGCCAGTGAAGATAGGGCACGTCCTCCCCTCTCAGACCCCCTAACCCAGTGGTTCTCAACCTTCTGGCCCTTTAAATACAGTTCCTCATGTTGTGACCCAAGCATCATATTATTTTCGTTGCTACTTCATAACTGTCATGTTGCTACTGTTATGAATTGTAATGTAAATATCTGATATGCAGGACGGTCTTAGGCAACCCCTGGGAAAGGGTCCTTCGACTGCCAAAAGGGTCGCGACCCACAGGTTGAGAACTGCTGTCCTAACCCTCAGCCCCAGTTTGGATCCCTGAGAAGTGCACAGAGAAGGCTCTAGCTTGTGTGTCCTCAAAGGATGGCGATGGATGGTGAGAGCAATGCTGAGATCCACTAGAACCAGAGACATTTCAGGCACTTAGAGCTACCACTCAAAACTGGCGTCCCTATGACAGTTGCCTTGGGGGGGTCCAAGGAAGCCAGAATAAGTTCTGTTAGTCACAGTTGATTCAAACCATAGAGGCAAGAAGTGACAGGGTAGTGCCCTACGGAGATATGCACGCACCTAGTAGGTCTTTTCCTTTAGAGTGGCTTGTTGATACGCATGTCCATAAATTGGGTCGTGTGGGAACTATGGTGTAGCTACCAGTATGTCAGTTCACACCCCTACAGTGGAGCCCAGGTGCGGGGAACGGAAGAGTCCCTGGCAACCCAAGGTTTAGATCACAGTAAACAGCTGAAGCAACTTTTAAGTAATTAAATGTGACATTTTAGAGAGTTTAAGTGCATGATGCTGTTGGTTACTGATAAAAAAACAAACCCTGGGTACGTAACTTCCCTTTGTTTTTCCATCTGTAAAATGGGTAGGATAAGGCCTAATGTTACAGTCGCATCCATTCAAATAAACGTTTTTATAGGTCTCTTTATTTATTCATTTTTTAAAGGCTAACAAACCATGTTAGCAACATTCAATACAATAAAATTTCAGCTGGTCAAAGGGATCGGGCAGTTTTCTGCCATTCATTGTAACGGGGCTTGATTTCTGGAACTATCTTGAGGAGGGAAAAAGGGAGAAACTTGAAAATACATAGATAGATTATAATAACCAAGTTTTAGTGAATTTAATTCTGGGTGTTTAGAAACATGTGTGAACATTATACCCATACCCCATACAGGGGAGAGGGAA